ACCCCCGCGGGCTCCGGCGGCGCCACCGAGCCCAACAGGGAGCCGGGCTGCAGCCCCTCGGCTGCTGTCACCGTCAGCACGACAGGCACCGGGGCCGTGGGGTCTGGTTCTGAAGGATCTGGCAGGGGCTCAGCCAAGTGAGCTGAGGGAAGCACCTGTTGTGGACCGAGGCGGGAGGAAGAAATCAGGGGGACCCGTGTAAAAGGGGGTCTGGGTTGGCCCGATGGGTAGCAGGAAGGGTGCTCAGAGTAGCCTGAGAGGAGGGGGAAAAGACCCAACGAAGGTGGAGCTGTTGGAGGTGGGCCCACAGCGGTGGCCAAATGGACAGACAGATTGGAGGAGGGGCAGCTATACCTGCACCAGCAGCTGGAGGCTGGAGCTCCGAGGAGGGCTGCCTTGGTCGTGAGCACTCAGCGTCAGCACATAGTGGGGCCGCTCTGCTCGGATCAGGGGTGCTGCAGTGAGCAACTCCCCCGAGTGAGGGTGCAGAGAGAAGAGCTCTGAGCCAGGACCTGGGGACCGGCAGTGGAAGGGTGAAGGCTTGGGTCCCAGAGCTGAACAGGTCATGAGGGTGTGCCACACCCATCAATTCCCTTCTCTCCACCCCCATACCAGTCAGAGTGTACAGGATGGTCCCATTCTCCCCTTCATCTGGATCCTTGGCCTGAAGAGTTGTCACCAGTGTTCCTGGAGGCACTCGATCTGCTACCTGTGGGGACACACAACTCACCTACAGTTGTCTCTTTTGGATTCCTGAAACAACTCAGGATGGAGTTCCCCTCACCTGTGTGCACGTAGAGCCCTTTTTTTGCTCTCACACCTATTCCAAAAATCATCTCACCTACACCTACAGCTTTATGAGGAGGCACCCATTCCCTCTCACTTCTTCGGAGCAGGGTCCTTCTGCCTCACATACCTGTATAGGGAGGCCCCCGCCAGCAGCCCCGGAAGCCTGCAGGAAGGTGGGACTGTTGTCGTTGAGGTCGAGCACTGCGATGTGCATGGTGCCTGTGGTACTGCGGGGTGGGCTCCCTCCATCCTGCACCTGCACCAGGAGCTGGTAGCTGCTCTGCCGCTCTCGGTCCAGGGTTTGGAGTGTGGTCACTTCTCCTGGGAGTGCAGGAGAGGGATCATGTATGGGCTAGCTAGGGATGCAGAGCCAGAGACCTGTAACTGAGAAGCTGAGGCTTGGGGTGTGTGGGAGAGAATCTCATGGTGAAACTCCAGGCTTAGTCCCGGTCTTCATGACCAGGCTCTGGGGATCCTGTCTGGGTGTTCACCAGTCTGAGGATGAGGCCACGGGGTCTCAGAATTTGGATGCCAGGACTCACCAGTCTGGGGGTGGATGCGGAAGGCCTTGCTGTCTTCTGACACCTGTCGCAGGCTGTAGGTCAGACGTCCATTGGGTCCAGAGTCTCGGTCACTGGCATAGACCCGGCCCACACTGGTCCCTGGGGGCTGGTTCTCTGCCACAGCTAGGAAGGTGGGCTCCTCAGACAAGCGGGGGCTGTGGTCATTCTGGTTGAGGATGCTGACCCTTACAGTGGCTGTGCTTGTCTGCTGCCCCAACTCAGCTTTGGACCCCGACACTGCCATTACCTTTAGTGTGTACAGCTCCTGGGACTCACGGTCCAGTGCTGCCCGCACCCACAGCCACCCACTCTGTGGCTCTAGGCCAAAAGGGCTACTTGGCCCATCTCCTGCAAGGTGGTAGGTGACAGAGCCCCCATCAGGTGCTCGAGCCTTCACTTGCAGAACCTGAGTTCCAGGGGTGGTGCCTGAGGGCAGGTCCACACGGTAGGTAAGGCTGTCAAAGTGAGGAGCCAGCCCACGGGTAACCAAGTCCTGTACCACCACCCGAAGTCGAAAGTGGCTGGTGCGGGGTGGGGAGCCCCCATCTCGGGCTTCCAGGTCCAGTTCATGTGCTGGCCCCCCTGGGGGCCCCAAAGGTCCCATAAGTCGTACGTGGCCCGTTGTGGGGTCCACAGTGAACACCCCGCCACCTCCAGCAAGAAGGTTAAAAGTGACTCGACTGTTAATGCCTGAGTCGGGGTCCAGAGCACGCAGTGTATAGATGAGGGTCCCTGGGGCAGTGCTTGGTGGCAGTAACACGGTGTCTTCAGGTGCAGGGAAGGCTGGGGAATTGTCATTCACATCATCCAGCAGCACACGCACCCGAGCCACAGTGAAAGCTGGGGGCACTCCACTACCTGCCTGCACCTCCAGCTCCAGCACTGGCCCCAGCAGCTCCCGGTCCAGAGGGCGAAGCGTCTTTAACAGCCCGGAGATCGCATCTAGGGAGAAGAGTCCTCGAGGATCCCCGCCTGATAGGGTGAGTGTCACAGGCCCCAAGCGACCTAGGGAGTAGAGAAGGGTCAGGAAAGAAATGGAGGGGCACCTACTGAGTTGGGGCCAGGCTCTGAACCCAAGAGGGGCTACAAAATGCTCATGCCTGTGCCTTTCAAAGGATTAGGAGGAGAGGGAGGTGTTGGCAGAGAAGCTAGGTGGCATTAGGGTAATATTCATGTACTTGGGAATAAAGCAGGATGTCTACATATGCCCAAGAAGGTGTTGGGAATTGGAACCAGAGTGTGTTGACTGGAGCTATCCAGGGTACCCTGAGATGGAGCTCCAGGGTTTTACTGGGGTGTCTAGGTATGGCACCAAGTGGGCATAATGATAAATGATACCTGGTGGGTTGTGTGCCTGGACTATGCCCACACTGGTGCCTGGTGCCACATCCTCTGGCACAGAAAAGACATACTGTAGTTGTTCAAATATGGGCGGTATGGGGGTTCCAGGCACAATGCTGATGTTGACTCGGGCACTGAGCTCTGCCTTCAGGCCACCTCCATCCTGAGCCCCAATCTCCAGCTGCACCACAGAGTTGACCTGTCTGGCCAAGGGCCAGGCTACTGCCAACAGCCCTAGGAGGAGGGATAGAGCAGAGATGTATAAGGAAACAATGGAGTTGAAAGGGGGGCAGTACTTCATTTAGGCAGGTGGGAGGGGGATGGGGGATAAACTCTAGGTATGGCAGGATCCTCACCTGAGTGCTCATCCAAGGTAAAGAGTGGGGGGCTATTGCCAGCCAGGATGTGGTAGGAGAGTCGCCCATGGGGCCCCTGGTCAGGGTCATGGGCACGCACCCTCAGCACGGCTGTGCCTGGTGGACTCTGGGCACTCAGACTGGCAGCATACTCCCGTGGATAGAACTGAGGTGGGTTATCATTCTCGTCTGACACAAATACCTTCACATACACTATGGACTTGAGGCCTCCCTGGTGAGATATGTAGCCATAAGTCAGATGGATCTTGTCTGGCCCTGGTGAATACTCTATCCCAGTGTTCCAACCTGCCCATGGTCTGCCTACTCACCCCATCCACAGCAGTCACGGTGAAGTCGAAGCTTGAGGGCCCCTGGTCGCGGTCCAGGGTCTGGGTTGTGCACACATCACCACTGTGGGCATCAATGCGGAAAGGGGGAGACCCTGAGGTCCCAAGTCCAGCACCCAAGGAATAGGAGAGGAGGCCAAATGGGCCACTGTCTGCATCTGTGGCTGTCACCTGTGGAGAGGCTAGGGTGAGTGATGCATCATCTTTTTGGCCAGAAAAGCCAGAGCCACATGGCAATTAGAAGGCACAGGCCCTGGGCCAGCTGGGGCTGAGTCTCTGGACGGTGGACACACAGAGGGAACTAGTAGGACATACACCAAAACCCAAGCCTAGACCAGACCTCATTGCCTGTGTGAGGTTTCTGTGAGCCTCTCCTCACAATGTTTTTGTCAACTAGTCAGTACATAACCATGTTTTATATGTGTTTCTGTTTAAAGACACCTAATTTAATATATATTGTTGATTCATTAATGTTGAACACATGGCCAATGGCACTATAACTTATCTGAATGAAGCTTATCTAAATACACATACTGTTTTCTCCATAAAGCTCATCACAGCCTTCTTGTGCTTGGGAACTCTAGACAAGCTCTTCAGCACCACACCTGGGGACCATTTTAAACAGCAAAATCACCAAAAAAAAAAAAGCACAAAAATGCAAAAAACGTGGCACTAAATAGACTGCATAAAGGACCCTTGTATACAGTAGAAGAGCTGAAACATGAATGCAGAGCCTTGCCATGTTCAGCCTCAGCTGGAAATGTATACGTTGGGCGACTTGAATTTTTCAGTGATCTGCACATGTCTGAGAGTGACCACAAAAGTTCCATGAGTATTGATTTTTGGGTCACACTTAAGTTTTAGAGAGTCAGCAAGTTCACAAATATAGAATCTGCAGAGTTTGAGGAGGACCAACTGCACTTATGAAGAACAGTGCTAAAGGGCTGTGACCGCAAATTCCTGGTGGATCACAGGGAGTTAATAACCATCACCAGGTCTCATAATCACTCCAAGCAGGGAACTGGCTGACCGATAGAATTATAGAGGCTGACATCATAGGCTTACTCTTTTTTGAGTTTGGTCATTACAGAATGAGATCTGTGATACTGGAATTTGATCACTGGGAATGATCAAGTCTGCTTTATGGATTTATGGATGTGGCTCATGCATCGTTACCCTTCCTTCACCTCTCAGGCCAACCTCCTTGGAAGTGAGAGAGGGAGAATTGCATGTCTATATTGCAAGTCCAATATTGAGGTCATTCGGTTGTGGGGTGGGGTCCCCAAAACTAAGAAGTAGGGAAAGACTTTCCTAGTTAATTCCTGGTCATCTCCCAGACTGGTTCAGAAAAAGCTGAATGACTGGACACCAATGTCAGGAGTCTCTGAACATTTCAGGGTCAAATCAGCAGGAGACACCATTCTGGGAGCTCCTAAGCCCAGGACAAGGCCAGACGTACCCTAGGTACTCTATGTATATTTGTTCATTGAGTAAACAGACATTCTGATTGCCATGCCTTACAACAAAAACTTCTTTCAAACTGAGTTTTTATACCATGGGTGCACATTAGGGGCCTCAATAGTGGACTAGCTGGTGCCGACTGCTATAGCCTGTGACAAAGTGCTCTTTGTGGATACAAGGGCCTCAGGGTCATGATATGCTGTAAAAGGAAGCTGGAGAGTTTCCCTTTCTGAGCCGGAAAATGTTGCTCAGGGAGAAGGCTGGCCAAGGACTTCTGATGGTTGCCCAGGCCCTTGACAGAAGTGATTTGTGCCATTGTTTACCCTCCCGAGAGACACTAAGACCCTGCCATGGCTGGACCCTGGAAACAGTTCCAGCTCCAACACTTTACGTGGCCGTGGGCCCGGATATCCCAGGAGACCAACTTCCCCTGCATCAAGCCTGCGGGCTGCAGCACAGCTGCGGCACCATCTCCAGAAGCTGTTAAAGACCTTTGCCCTCTGACTCGCTGCAGGAAGAAAGCAATAAATAGTGGTCAGGGGAAGTTGTCAGGAACTGACCCCAGAAGGTGCAGCAGCCATTGACTGGAAATGACCAAGGCAAAGTGAATTTCCTGGCCTGTGCAGCCCCTGCTCAGAGGTTCCACTGCAAATGCACAGTCTCCATTTCAGCAGGCTCTCCACCCTGCTGCACAGTCCAACCATGTCAGCAACCTCTCCCAAAAGCCATACGTAACCTCCTCTCTCTCCTCTTGTCCCCACCCCACACAAAGCTCTCATCAAATGCACTATTTCAAGGAGAAGGTAAAGACCCTTATCTGCGAACCCTCTAAAATTCCTAACAGACCACAAACTTACTATCAGCCCATCCTGACCTCCTTTCCAGGAAAGGAGAATTGTTGCCACTACGCTCTCCTGCTTCTTCCACTGCTTCCCCAACCCCCGTCTTCCTTTGCCTCCCCTTACTCTGCCTGTTCTTACACGTTTTTGTTCCCCGGAATCTCTCCTTGGCCTTTTCTCACGCTACACACTCGCTTAGGGCCTTCTCTTCCACATCCATGGCTTTGACCATTGTCTGTACTTTGACCCAGATCATTCCTCTAAGCTCCAAACTTGTACATATAGATGCCTGCTCAGCATCTCCACTTGGAGGTCCCACAGGCACCTTAAATCCAACCTGTCCAAAACTAAAGGCATGATCATTCCAAACCCCTCTCTAATGACTCTTCCATCCACGCAGTTGCTCAAGCCAGAAATGTGTTCTTCCTTTTTCCTCTCCCGGTAAATCAATCAACCAGGGACTAAGTAAATCCTCATTATCTCTCCTATTTGTCTATTTCTTTCCATCACCATTATCACTGTCCTGACCTAGGCCTGAGGTGTTTTTCTCCTGAACTGTTAAAATTCCCTTCTTGTGGCTGTCTGATCCTCCTATCCTTTCTCTACACCAGAGTTTCTCAATGGCAGCACGACTCACATTTTGGACCAGACAGTTCTTTGCTGTGGTGCTGTCGTGTTCATTATAGGATCCCTGGCCTCTACCCACTAGATACCAGTAGCACCCCACCAGTTGTGACAATCAAAAATGTCTCTGGACATTGCCAAATGTCCCCTCCAGAGAGCAAAATTACCTCGAGCTGTGAACCACTGCTCTACACTGATTGTCAAAAGCATTTTTTGAGAAAACAAATATAATCATATTACTCCTCTACTCAGAGAGCTTCAATGTTCCCTGAAGAAAAAGCTCAAACACCTTGGCTTGGCTGGACTTTTCACTGTCTGGCCTCCCTGCATAGTCTCATCTCCCACTCTCCCATCTCACACCTTAAACTCCAGAGACACTGAGTCGCTGTAGGCCCTTGAACAAGTCAGATTCTCCCCTGTCTGGTCGCCTCATAAACTCCTGCTTACCCTTTAAGTCTGAGCTCAAGGGTCCTGACTTTTGGGAAGACATTAATATTGCCTAGCTGTACCTCACATGTATCCCCATCGTGGAAGTTTTCTTACTGCAGTAAAACTGTTTCTTTGCACAGGAATCTCCCCTCTAGAACACATACACTCCATGTGTACACACAGTACACACATACACTCCATGAAGGGTATGTGTGTATTGGGGGGTGGGGTGGCAAATAACTCATTCATTACTGTGAATTCTGTGTCCCTAATGCAACGACTGGCACATGGTAAATACTCTAAATGTATATTGAGTGAACCAAATATTAAGACTTCTTGTAATCATTGTGAACACCCACTGGTTATTTTTATGCCTGCTTCCCTATGGTTACTAACAGTAAAAACTCCAGGAAACCACCTGGAGAGTTGCCCTCTTGCTTCAGGCACTAGTGAGGAGGAAGAAGTTTGGAAGGCATAGCCCATTGGTTCTGGGCCAAGAGGGACAGTAAACACAAGAGAGAGTGGGTGGGAGCTCAGCAGCAGTAGGCAGGCAAATACTCAGAGTCTGGCCAGAAGGGAGGCGGTTGCCCAGGCACTGGCCTGGAAGTCTAGGCCAGCAGGGAGCCCCTGAGAAGATGTTTAGGGGTCTGGTGGACTTCTGAGACATAAAGACTTCAAGCACTAATCTAAGAGGCCTCCGTGCCTCCAGTCTCCCCTCCGGCATCCATACTCCGTGGTACAGCTAAAATGATCTTTCCAAAAGACATGTCAGATTTGCCTAGATCTCCTTATTGGCTCCCTATGATTTTTAAGATAAAGTCAAAGCTTGTAATCTGGCTTCTTTCTACAATCTTGTCTCCCCGAACTCTTTCTCATCAGCACAGCTGAGGCCAACCTGAAAATGCAGTCCCCTCAACACATCATGGTATTCTGCAGCTCTTTCTGTGGTCCTGGAATCCCTGTTCACCGCCCCCCTCCCCCACCCCGTATTATCCATTCGATAAAGTCTCATTGGTTCATCAAAGGCTCATCCTCTGGGCTTCCATAGCAGCTCATATGCCGCTTGCTATAGCACTAGGTACTGGTGTATCTCTTCACCTACATTGGGAGCTGCCTGGAAATAAGACTGTCTCTTTTCTTTGTTCCCAGGGCCCAGCACAGTGCCAGACTTATAGTAGGTAAGTTAATTCTTAACACCATAAGACACTTTTTCTCTAGACTCAATCTTAATTCCCTCAACTACCGAAATTACCTAGCCCAGCTCTTGCACCCTGCTCTCATCTTTTCACAACCTTTACCCTCTGCACAGACTTTGGAGCTTACAGAATAGGACCAAACCCTCTGGCATAAGTCACCATCACAGACCTGCAAAGCTTGGTTCTTGCTCTGAGCTCCCCTGTGGCCCTCTGATCCATCCTGCCCACAGCAGCATCCTGCTGTGTGCAGGGCTTACCTACCTGTAGAAAGCAGGTTCCAGGCTGGGTGCCCTCAGGCAGTGAGGCATTGTAGAAAGTCCTCTGGAATTGAGGTTCATTATCATTCACATCTTGCAGGGCCACACTAACTGTGGCAGAGGAGGTGAGAGGAGGCAAGCCCCCATCTGTGGCCACCACAATCAGCTGTGGCTGGGGTTCTAACTCATAGTCCAGAGAGGCAGCCGTGGTGATGATGCCTGAGGTGGGGTCAATGGAGAACCAGCGGGTGTGGGTGCCTGGAGCCAGGCTATAGGTGACCTGACCATTGGTGCCCTGGTCAGGATCCTGGGCCATCACCCGCACCACAAAGCTGCCAGGCAGTGCAACCTCAGGCAGGGGCTCAGGTCGGTAGAGCTGGCGGTCAAAGGCAGGTGCATTGTCATTGACATCAGTGACATGCAACACAAAGGCAGCTTCAGCCCTCAGCGGGGGTGAGCCTGAGTCGGTGGCAGTAACCCGCAAGTTATAGGCGTCCCGCTCCTCCCGATCCAGCTGCCGAGCCACGCACACCAGGTAGATGACGCTGTCCTGAGTACTTAAGGCAAAGTGGCCCTCTCCACCCTCCAGGGACACATTGACGTGGGCAAAGTCACCATCATCTGGGTCTGACACAGAGATGCGAGCAACAAGCTGGCCAGGTGGGGCAGCCTCTGACACTCGGGGGGAACCATCTGCGCTAAGGAAGATGACAGTCATGGAGGGCTGATTGTCATTGGCATCTCGCACATGCACAGTCACAAAGGCCGAGCCCAGCTCAGGGTGAGCCCCACCATCCCGTGCCTGCACCACCAGTTCGTGGACCCGCCGTTGCTCGAAGTCCAGTGGCCGCTCCAGCCGCAGCAGCCCCGTGTGTGCATCAATGGAGAAGGGTCCATCACCCTCGCTCTGTCTCCGGTTGATCTCATAGGTCACAGCCCCATTGGCATCGGCATCGGCGTCAGACGCATACACCTGCAAGACTGGGCTGCCGGGGGCCAGGCTCTCGGACACCACAGCATGATAGCGGCTCTGATTGAAGGCTGGGGCATGGTCATTGATGTCCAGCAGTGTCACATCCAGCAGGGCCTGGGCCCTTCGGGGAGGTGAACCACCGTCGTAGGCCTCCAGTTGCAACATATAGTGTGAGCGGTTCTCTCGGTCCAGCTCCCCAGTAACTACCAGCTCGGGAACTGGGGCCCCATCGGGACCAGGGCGTGTCTCCAGCCGGAAGGTCTCTCCAGCCCCATCACCAGACAGCGCATAGCCCTGGGTTCCTAAGCGGCCAGCATCTGCATCACGAGCAGGCTCTAGTGGGTAGCGGGTGCCAAGAGCTGTGTGCTCAGGTATCTGCAGGGCAGCACGAGCCTGCGGGAAGGCTGGAGCATGGTCATTGATGTCAGCCACTCGCACAGTAACTTCCACGGTGGCGCCGTCAGGAGTAACTGCAGTGAAGCGGTAGCGATCCCGCCGCTCACGGTCCAAGACACGGGCTGTACGGACCACCCCACTGTGCTCATCGATGGCCAAGTCTGTGCCCACACCACTGCCCTCCTGCGCAGAGATGAAGTACATGGGGGGTGCTGCTGTGCCTGCCGGAAGCCCTGCACTGATGTCCCCGATCAGTGTGCCTGCCGGCTGCTCCTCATCAATCTGTAGGTCCAAGCTCCCGGCCTGACCCCAGGCACCTGACACCCTGGCCCCCAGCAGCAGTAGCAGCAGTGGGAGCAGGGGGCGGGGTCTGGGGCTCTGCATGCCAGTGCAGGAAAGCGCAGAGCCCAGCTCCTTCTGCATGACAGGCACAGTCCAGATGTGACTTGGGCTTCGGCTCTAGGCCAGGCTCTGGGCCCAGCTTGATCTCAGGCTTTGGATCAGGTCCAGCTCAGGCCCTGGCTCCAGCACAGGCTCCCTGACCTGCAAGTAAAGTGGAAGAAAAAAGGTCACGATGGGGAAGGAATCAACAATTCAGGGAGACTGCGGTCTAAGCCTTGTGCTCCCTCACACCCATCTTGGGCCCAGGAAACCTCTGCTTTAGGACTCTTCCAGCCCCGCTCCAGTCTTTCCCTGGCAGGTTCCCATCCCACCCTGACCCCCCTCTCAGCAGATTGTTTTGTTCCTATTGTTCAGGTCTGAATGCCCTCAGACTCCCAGTCAAACGGAGCAGGGACTCATAAGCCATATTGATGATTTTGACTTTATCCTAAAAGCAAATGGAAGCCACAGAAGTATTTTGAGAAGGGGTGTGCCAAGATATGACGTACATTTTGTGAAGATCACTATCGCTGCCCTTGGGAAAACAAGGGGCATGCAGACTGGATGGTTATCTTAGAACGGCCCTTGTAACACACTTGTGGGAGTCCAGGCGATGGCATTGCTTTGATGGTGACTCGGATGAGTGTTAGCAATGAAAATGACAGAAGTGGATAGGTCTGCAGGAGGTTTAGGAGGTAGAACAGACAGGGCTTGGTGACTGTTTGAAGGGAGGGGATGAAGTAGTGGGAGAAGACAAGCATGCTGGGCAAATTTCTGGCTTGAATCATCAGTTGGACAAAGGTATTCTTAACTGGCCAGAGAGAGAGAGAAACAGAGAGGGGAGGTGTCTCTGAAGCTAAGGGGAGCCAGGGTTTCAAATGCTGCTGAAGTTCAAGAAGGAGGAGTCCTAAAGCCTCATGAAGGCATTTAGTGACTAAGTGAGAGCAACGCTCTTTGAAAGGTTGATTCATTTCCTCCAGTTTCTCACTTCTCACACCCTCCACCCTCTGTGAAGTAAGGCTTCCTCCCCTATGGCGTTGCTTTCACTGAGCTTCCAGTCATTTCTGTGTTCTACATCTAACGGACACTTTTTCTGATCTTCCCCTTGCTGCGCCCTTCTGGATCATTGGCTCCTTGGAGCCTGCTCGTCCTGGCTTCACATGGTGAAACCTCAGCTCTTCCTTCCATGGTACTTCTCTGTCCACTCCTCTATCTCCTGTGTAAGTTCTTCCTCTGCCCATCCTTTAAAAATTCGTGCTCGTCAGCCCTGCCCGGGTGGCTCAGTCGGTGGGAGCAGCATCCCATGCACCAAAAGGTTTCAGATTCCATTCCTGGTCCCAGCACATATCCCGGTTTCGGATTTGATCCCCGGTCGGGGCGTGTACAGGAGGCAACCGATTTGATGTTTCTCTCTTTGTCCGTCTGTCTGTCTCCCTTCTTTTGTCTCTAAAATCAATGAAAAACATATCCTCGAGTGAAGATTAAAAAAAATTGGTTCTCTTCAGGATTCATTCCTGACCACATCTTTCCCACTCTCCACACTCTGCCTGGGAGATTATATCCTTTCCCATGCCTTCAATTCAAATGTATCGATAATTTTTTTATCTATCTACTTGCTGATGACTTTCTAATCTCCATTTCCAGCTCTGGAGAGCTCTGGAGATGCATGTCCAGCCATATTCTGGACTTCTTCACAGTGTAGCCCCTACTTTCACCTCAAGCTGTGTTTCTTCCTCCATTCTTTTTCCTGTGAACAGCACCACCACTCATCTAGGTGTCCAGGCCAGAAACCCAGAAGCTCTCCGGGCTTCCTTGCTTTTCTTCGGTCTGATTTCCAATTAGTCATCCAAACCTAACTAACTGTCTCACTAGACATGTCTTAAGTGTGCCCTTTCCTCTCATTCCCACTGCTGCTTCTCAGTGCGAGCTTTGTCATCTCTCCTTTTGATTCTGCTCCTTACTGGTCCCCCTCTCAGCCTCCAGGTTTGGATCATCTAATCCATCTCCACTTGACCAGAGCTAGCCATACAGCTCTCAAAAAACCACTCCTGACAAAAGACTTCCACTGGTTCCCCGTTACTTACAGCAGAAGACTGCTGCTCCTCTATGGAAAAAAATGCAGGTACACATACATACAAACTGTGCCTGCAGTTTCAAGGGGTTCATGGACACCAGGTATAGAATTCCTGACCCAAAATATAAAGTCCAACCTCCTTCATACATCTTCCTGATCTGAGTCCTGCCAATCTTTCCAGTGTGCCCCTCCTTTCCTTTTCCCACCATACCGTGCATTCCAGCACTAAACCCATTGCTATGTTCCTTCCCAACTCCTTGCCTTGTATGAACTATTCTTTCAGTCTGAGACTTCCTCTATACACTGGCCATCTTTTACTCAAATTCCAAGATACAGTTCAAATGTCCTGTGTTCTGTGGAATCTTCTACATCTCTGTTACCTACTGCAGAGGCAACTGGACTCTCCACTGGGCTCCCACTGCTTTTGGTGCACACTGACAATAAACTGCACAGCAGCCCTGATTTATTCATGTGTCTGCCCCCTTGCAGACTTGGAGGCTCATTGAGGGCAGCAACTTTATTTACTCTCTGATTCTCCAGGGTTTAGTAGAAGTATAGCATCAGCAGGCAATCAGTGATGAATGAATGGTCAGAGCCTCTCAATTACCCACCATGACACTCACCTACTGACACAGAGAGAAACACCCATGGGCATGCCAACAGGACAACATACACAAACACACGTGAGCCTGCCCTTGAGACACCACAGTCAGTCCTGTGGCTACAAAAGTGTATCCTTGGGTTTTTACAGATATGCTCTGCTCTAGGACTTCCTGTCTTCCTAAGGGAGGAATGTTTCTGACCCCTCTTGCTTTCCCATCTGTGTGAGGCAATAAAAAGAGCAGGGATTCCACAAAGTTTGAGCTGGGTTTGAGCCTAGTCTCAGTGTTATTTTCCTAAACTATAAAATGGTTATGGTGATACCTACCCTGTGGGGTTTTGTGAGAATTAGAGGCAATGGAAGCAAGGATCCCAGAGCTGGGCATTTGGTAAATGCTCTCTCATCAGTTCCCAGCACCATCCCTGATGGGTCCCCTCAACCCAGCTTCAGAGTTCTGGGGTTCTGTGTGTTCACTAAGATCCCTCTCCCCGGGGCTCAAGTCTGAAGAGCCCATGGAGCTGCCCTATGGAATAACAGGTCAGAGAAATTCAGAACAAGGAGGTCAGAGTGAGCACAGGCCTGCTCCAAAGATGGGAGAGGCTGAAAGTACAGGGATCACTCAGGGGCTCAGGTCAGGGATCTAGGCCTAGAGGCTGGGTTCGACATCAAGGGTTAAATGTTGGTCCTATCCATTTAATCAGTAGAGAAAAAGCAGTTGCGGTGGTGGGGAGAGAAGATAATGGACAGTAAGGTCAATGTACTTATCAAACTGTGTTATAACTTTGTCTCCCCACCCAGAGAGTTTTATTTGTTTTTCGTTTGTTTTTTAATCCTCACCTAAGGATATTTTTTCCATTGCTTTTCAGAGAATGGGAGGGAGTGAGGGAGGGAGGGAGGGAAGGAAGGAGGGAGGGAGACAGAGAGGGAGGGAAGGAAGGAAGGAGGGAGACAGAGAGGGAGAGAGAAGAACATCAATGTGAAAGAGACACATTGATCGGTTGCCTCCTGCGCACACCCAGACCAAGGTACGTGCCCTTGACCGAAATCTAACCGGAGACCCTTCAGTCGATGGGTCAACGCTCTAACTACTGAGCGAAACCAGCAAGGGCAGAATGTCAGCTAATTGAAGGCCGGGACTACATCTTATTCACCTTTGTGTACAGCACAGAGCATAGCACATAGTAGATGATCAATAAATTTCTTGAATGAAAGGATGTATGTAAGGTATGAGATAAAAGCTTAGATGAAAGATCAACCTTGAAGAGGAGGGGTCAGACCCAGGCAAATTGTGTAGACCCCAGTGCCTTCCGCATCACCCTGCCTGGGTCCCTTTCCAATGTAGACTCTCCCAACACACTCTTATAGTGGACACGCAAAGGTGCATACTCATAAAGCCACAGGCCCACACATGCACAGACTTACTTGCAGACAAGCACACTCAACACACTCATACACACATGGACGGTACTTTAACGGATACACATCCAGGGCACACACACAGATAGCCCTCCTCACAAATACAGAGAAACATGTTTTCACACACACAGGTGGGCAAATTCATTTACATGGACTCCGCTCCCCCACCCCAAGCACACATACTCACATGCAGGCATACATACAGACACATACACAGAAAGGCACTTTCTCACAGGCTTCGCATGGACAGGCACATTCACACAGATACCCCCTCCCACGTATACACACAGACACACTCCCATGCACCTACCCTCCCATGCACATAGACAGAACCATCTTCACACATGCACAGACTCACACAGCCAGGCACATACGCGCACACTTGCAGACCCACCCACACACAGGCATGCTCTCACACATGCTGCCGGGGCACTCGTGGTCAGCTCTGTGGCTGCAGCTGTGACCTCTAGGTCCCTGGGGCCTCTGTCTGGACTGTGCCTCACTGCTTCCTGCTCCAGGGCTTCCAGTTCCAAACTTGAACTCCAGACTCTCTCCCGAGACCGTCTCATCCTCTCTCCAACTCTCTTCTCGGCACCATCTCCCCCATCTGTACAGTGTTTCTCACTGCCTCTTCCCCAGGACTTGCTCCTCCCTGTTCCTGCCTCTTTCCCTCTGCAGGTCTGTCCCATCCCTTCCTCCAGATCAGGCCTAAATCATCCATCTTGTCTCTTTCCCCAATGTGTCCTGCCTCCTGCCCCAGATCTGTCTTTTCTTTCCCCAGATCTCTCACACACCTCTTCTCCCACCCAGTTCTGCCTTGCTGCGTGCCCTCACTCTGTCCTGGTCCTGTTACTCTGTCCTCTGGCTCCATGGAGCTCTCCCCCCTCTAGCCCCACATCTGGGCCTCTGGAACAACAGCTGGTTCTCATTAGGAGGGGGAGGGGCGAGACTGTTCATTGGGGCCTGCAATGTGATGTCAGTCCTCCCCCCACCCGCAGCCTATGTGTCTATAGGACCTGGGAGCGGGGGTACATGGGAGAGGAAGGAAAAGTGAGTTGGGGGGAGGAATAGGGAGACCATAAGGGAAGGGGTACTCCAGGAGGAAGTAGAGGAGTGGCTCGAGGTACAGAGGGGGAAGCAGGCGGGGGGAGCTGGCACCACCAATGCCTCCTCCCTCAACTTCCTGTCCCAGGG